CTAAATAAGGTTTATATATTTGTTAAGCCTAATGTAAGTAAAGATTAACAAGTTTAGTTAGGTATAATTAGGGTTAGACCTAATTAAGGTTTAAAGGTTAGTTAAGCTTAATGGAAGCAAAGCATAATAGGTTTAAATTAGGTCTAATTAGGGTTTGACCTAATTAAGGTTAAAGATTAGTTAAGCATAATTTAAGTAAGGCTTAAACAAGTTTAATTAGGTCTAATTATGGTTATAACTAATTAAGGTTTAAATGTTAGTTAAGCCTAATGTAAGTAAAGCTTAACAAGTTTAATTAGGTTTAATTAGGGTTAGTCCTAATTAAGGTTTGAATGTTAGTTTAGTCTAATGTGAGTAAGGCTTAACAGGTTTATTTAAGTCTAATTAGGGTTAGACCTAATTAAGGGTTAAAGGTTAATTAAGCTTAATGTAAGGCTTAACAGGTTTATTAGGCCAAATTAGGGTTAGACCTAATTAAGGTTTAAAGGTTAGTTAAGCCTAATGTAAGTAAGGTTTAACAGTTTAATTAGGTCTAATTAGTGTTTGACCTAATTAAGGTTTAGAGGTTAGTTAAACTTAATGTAAGTAAGGCTTAATAGGTTTAATTAGGTCTAACTAGAGTTAGACATAATGAAGGTTTAAAGGTTTGTTAAGCCTAATGTAAGTAAGGCTTAACAAGTTTAATTAGGTCTAACTAGGGTTAGACCTAATTAAGGTTTATAGATTTGTTAAGTCTAATGTAATTAAGGCTTAAAATATAAATCACATAAAAATACTAAAAAATGGCTAATCACTGCTATTATGTAGTAATTCCTTAAGTAAATTCAATAAACTAATTAAAATTATTAAATAAATAAAATAAAATATATTCAATTATATTTAAATAATATTTCAATATAAATATTAAGATTTAAATCTCGGCCTAATTTTTAATATCCTACGTTTGCATAATTAGGGTTGTAAAAATGATTCTTTGCTTGCAAACAATTTGTGTTCGACTCACTAAACAAATTATCTTAACACAAACAAATATTTTTCTTCGAAATATAAACTAGCCGCAGACGAACAATGATATTTTTTAACGTGTCGAACACG